GATCAAGCATGGGATCTTGACAGGTGTCAGGCAAGAAGAGTTGGTGCAGCGACTCATCCCCCTGGACGCTTCCTCCACACTCCAGGTGGTAGTGAATGAATGTCGGTCATACGAGGCCACCAAGTCTGCCACCTCTGCCTTATGGGCCCCACCTGCTGTGAGAGCTATCTCACAGTACAAGAAGGGCAAGAAGGCGGCCAACAACGTGAAGGCTGCCGCACGTTCTTCCACGCCTCCGCCTAGTGCTTCCTGTGGCAGCTGTGGAAAGCAGCATGGCCCCAAGACATGCCGGGCCGCCGACGCACTGTGTCGTGGATGTGACCGTAAGGGCCACTGGTCTAACACAGACAGGTGCCCTGCACGAGGCCACAAGTGTCAGGCCTGCGGTCGCTATGGACACTACGACAAGTGCTGCCGCCAACCCAAGCCCAAAAGCCCGAGACAAGGAGGAAAGCAGCGCACTTCCCTCGGGGTGGTTCGCACGCAGCCTCCTTCAAATGGCCCACGCAGCCCCAAGCAGCAGCTGAGTCACATCAGGAAGGTGGAATTGACCACACGCCCCAGGGCTACCCTTTCCCCTACCATCCGCGTCGCCGTCACATCAAGGTGATACCGGACACCAGCACTGATACTACGGTGATAGGCCTGAAGCACCTCCAGAAACTGGGCCTCACCAAACGCGACCTGGGACCACCGCCGCAGCTGCAGTACTACAATGCGGACGGTTCCCAGATGTCGGACGCTGTAGGCTCCTTTCAAGCGGAGATCACCTACGGCGACAGGTCGTGTCACGGATGGATGGACGTGCAGCCTACTCTCGCTACACCCTTGTTGTCGTGGGAGCACTGCAAGGAATTAGGCGTGGTGCCCAGAGACTTTCCTGAGCAGATCCCAGCTGCTCGGTACACCGCCAGCAGGGTGCGTGAGTCAACGAGTGACACACCTGGCGCTGCCGCACAGAGCTAACCAGTACCCGCGTCCACTCCCGCCCCGCCTCCACCCAAGTCATGGCTGCTTCCTCTTCACAGCGAGACGTCTCCTTCAGCCGCAAGGGCCTACTTCCTGAAGGAGTACTCGGAAGTGCTGGTGACGAAGGAGGCCCTATGGACCGCGCCACTTAAGGCTATGGCGGGTCCGCCTTTGAGGATTCACCTGAGGGAAGATGAGCAGCAGTTTGCCATACACACTCCCCGGTTGATCCCTCTCGCCTTCAGGGATTCAGTCAAGAAGGAACTGGATTCCATGGTGGCCCAGGGTGTCATCGTACCCGTTGGTGACGACCCATCCCCTTGGTGCCACCCTCTAGTTGCTGTGGCTAAGACTAACGGTGGAGTACGGATTACTACCGATTTGTCTAAGCTTAACAGCCAGGTGTCCCGTACCGCCCACCCTTCACCCACACCTTTTGAAGCTATACGGAGTGTAGACCCGAAGGTACAGCACTTTTCGACAATGGACACCCTCTGTGGTTACTGGCAGATCCCACTGAAGAAGGAGGATCAGCCACTGACCACTTTTATCAAGCCTTATGGACGCTTCCGCTACCGCCGTGGCCCAATGGGATTTGCTGCTACGGGGGACGCCTTCTGTCTCCGTGGTGACATGGCACTTCAAGGCATGACCAACTGCGTGAAGGTAGTGGATGACATCCTCCTCTACGATGAGGACTACCCGACACATCTTCGCCGCATCGACGAGGTACTGACCAGGTGCAGGACGCACAGCATCACTCTGAATGCCGAGAAGTTCGTCTTGGCCGCACCTGCAGTGTCTTTCTGCGGCTACCGACTCTCAAGGGATGGCATTGCTGCGGACCCGGAGAAAGTTCGTGCCATAGCGGACTTTGCCAAACCTGCCAACCTTACGGATCTCAGGTCTTTCATGGGCCTGGTGAACCAGCTGGCAGAATTTTCTCCTGACATCTCCGCCGCTGCCGGGCCTCTCCGCCCCCTGATGAGCCCCAAGAGGACTTTCACGTGGACCCCTGACCACGACCTCGCCTTTCATAAGGTGAAGGCCCTGTCAAGTCCACCTACCCTCGCTGCTTTTGACCCAGCGCTCCCCACCGTCCTCCAGACAGACGCCTCGCGCCTGTACGGGGTTGGTTACGCCCTTCTCCAGGATCACGGTGGAGGAAAGTACCGGCTCGTACAGTGTGGCTCTCGCTTCCTCACCGAAGCTGAGTCTTGCTACACTACCATCGAGCTGGAGCTGCTGGCAGTAGTATGGGCCTTATCGAAGTGCAAGTTTTACTTGATTGGCCTACAGCACTTCGACCTCATCACAGACCACAGGCCCTTGGTCCCCATTCTTAACCACTATTCGCTGGACGCCATCAAGAATCCCCGCCTCCAGCGCCTGAAGGAGAAGATTTTGGCCTTCGTCTTCACCGCGGCTTGGCGCGCAGGTAAGGAGTTGTGCATCCCGGATGCCCTCTCCCGCTCCCCAGTCAGCCGCCCGACACCTGAAGACGAGATGCTCAGCACCGAGGCCGGTTTCTCCGTCAGCAACATCGTCACTTTACAGGCCGTACAGTCCCTCGCCAGCACCCAGGCCTCAGTGTCGCCACCCAACAGCGATCTGGCTCTTGAGGAACTACGGACCGCGGCACGCGATGACCCCTCTACACTCAGCTCTTGGAGAGTGTGAGGACTGCGTTCCCTCGCGACCGTTTTGACCTCCACAACGCCCTACGCCCGTATTGGAAGATACGTGAGGACCTCTACGCAGATGGGGACATCGTCCTGTACGGTGCCCGTGTGGTCGTCCCTGCAGCTCTCCGTCGTCGCGTTCTGGCCCGCTTACATGACAGCCATCGTGGAGCAGAGGCCACCAAGCGCGGCGCAAGGCAGGCTGTGTACTGGTCCGGCATTGACGCGGATATCGTCAATACGGTCCGTGCCTGTGAGCCCTGCCAGATCATGCAGCCCAGTCAACAGCAAGAGCCCCTCTTGTGCGACGACAAACCCACCAGGCCCTTCGAGTCCGTGTCGGCTGATTTCTTCAGCACAGCTGGGAAACATTTCCTCGTTGTCGCCGACCGACTCTCTGGCTGGCCTGTGGTGGTAATCTGTGGCTCAGACACGATGTCCGCGGCCACCATTCGCCACTTCCGGCACCTCTTTCGTGACCTGGGTGTCCCCTTACGTCTGCGGACGGACGGATGGTGGGCCACAGTTCACCAGCCGGGACTTCACAGGATTCTTGAAGCGTTGGGGAGTCCGCCACATCGTGTCAACACCCCACTACCCACAGTCAAACGGCCACGCTGAGGCTGCAGTCAAGACAGTCAAGCACCTCATCCTCAAGGTGGCCCCTTCAGGCAACATAGACTGTGAGGCATTTGACAAAGGACTCCTGGAGTTACGTAATACTCCCACCCACACAGGACGCTCCCCTGCCCAGATCCTGTATGGTCACCCTCTCTGCTCTTGCGTTCCTGCACACGCCAGGGCTCGGTATGACGACCGTGCCCGCCCTCTTCAGCCGCTGGAGATTGGTGCCCTTGTCCGCGTCCAGGACCCGACGACGACACGTTGGGACAAGGTGGGCATAGTGATGGGCATCGGCTGGTCGCGGGACTACAAGGTCAGGATGCCGAGCGGCCGCGTCTGGTGGAGGAACCGCCGCTTCCTCCGGCCAGTCCCACCCCCTGCTGCTGGCCCCCTGACCGAGGACAAGTCCCCTACACCTCACGAGGATCCGTCCCACAGCGCACCTCGACGCTCGGAGCGACTTAGGACTAAGAAGTCCGCTCAAGACAAAGACTATGAGCGTGAGGGGGGGAGGGAGATGTAGGTTATGTATCTAAGCTACTGTGCCGAGTAGCAACCATGTATATAAGCTACTGTGCCGAGTAGCATTTATATATGTAATTATGTGGCAACACTACACGTGTTATGTGGCAACATTGCCCCAAGGCTGCCATATGGCAATGCAGTCTCAGTCTGACTCCGTGCCTCGTGCAAGGCACACGCTAGTCACCACTTGTATTTCTCCTATCCGTTAATAAATGGACTTCAGTGTTACCCGGTGTTTCCCTACCCATCACTGCCTTCTTCAGGGAACACTTTGAACCTTCAGGAACAGGGTACGACTACCAGTGACAGCCAGCAGATTCGACCACCGCTACACCAAGAAAACCGTGAAACCTCCAGACCATGTGATGGTGTGGGGATGCTTCAGTGGTGCTGTGGGTAGAGGAGGCTTGTATTTCCTCCCTCGCAATGTTACAATGAATAGTGACCGGTATATTTAGGTGTTAAATGAGAACCTGCTCACATTTTGACATTCATGGATGTGACTTTGTTTATGCAGGATGGTGCACCGTGCCACACATCCAAGAAATCAATGAAATGGCTCGGTGATCATGATATACAAATGCTTGAGTGGCCTGGCAACTCACCAGACTTAAATCCAAATGAAAATATCTGGTCATATATGAAACAAAAGCTGAATTCCATGGATACATAGTCCGTGCCAAGACTGAAGGAATCCCTCAGAAAGATGTGGTTAAATGATTTGGACATCGATTACTTCAAGAAGCTGTCTGATTCTATGCCAAAATGGTTCCAAATGGTGATTGACAACAAAGGGGCGCAAGTACAGGCCTATCACTGTTTATATACCATAAAGCACGTGTTTGTCACAAAAAATGTAACCGCACGGGGGTAGGTTGCAAGACTTTTTGCGGACACTGTATGTACAGTACAATACAGTACTCCTCTCATAACTTCATTCCTTGTTATGGTATGTAATCCAAATGTTCATTCTACATATAATATACACTGACCCATACTGAACATATGGTACAAAGAGGCTTGCATTTTCAAACACTACAGAGGGAAAAATATGCCCCACACTCGCTTCTTACGCTAATTATCAACAAGAGTAAAATGAATTTTAAAAATAATACATTAAAATTTTCACATTTCCATGAACTGTGTTGCAAAATTTTCCCCAAATGCATATAGTAGGTATGGTATATAAAAAAAGGATACAATATGTCAACTGTTGAAGCCTCATACATAAGGTCTTTCTTGACACTCTTTGTGTTGAGTTTCTTCTCCTTGGCAAGCTGGTCACGTTCGAAGTGTTCCAGGTACTCCAGTGTGAGGGAGTCATAGGCATTATTGTTGGCAAAGGATATCCAGCAAGCAGCAATGCCCTCTCCATCAACTCCATACTGTGAGCACAGCTCCAGGCCTGACAAGCAAAATAATCATTAAATAACATCATCTGAGAATCAACATTTAAATGTCACCAGAGAAACTGACAATGATTAGAAATATAGTCAAGATTGTCAACCAAAAAACAGCAGAGAAATATTACATCCTCCATTTTAATGAATGAGGAGAAATTGGACAATCAGACAACTGGTTCGGCGACAATGTGCATGGTGGTGCGAGTGATTGAGTCTACAGCACAGTACTGTACTTGTCTACACAAGCGTTTCAGAACTAAGTTAAATGGGGATTGTAGGAGAATGATGACACATTGAAAGTTTTGTGGCAATAGAGTAATAACATTGAGTGGTAAGAGAATAATGAAGTAAGTTAAGTGTACAGGTGGTCCCCACACCACACCACAAAATTTTCATTAACACAAGGAACCAATAAGGGAAACAGTTTATTAAGCAGGAAAACATCACCAGTTTATTAACATGAGCCACAATATGTCACACCAGCTGGCCCCCTAATACCTTGGTAGTAGTCCTCAAACATGAACAGAATATTAAACACCAAGAGATTGTTGTTAACGACAAACTAAACCGGAGAAACCACAGACCGTATTGTACAAGCCATTCACAGTAAAATCAATAAATAGTGCAGTTTCCTATATCACACTCGTCAGTCACTCACTCTTGCAGGAATGAGAGAAATCTATTATGATCTTGTTTATCAACACATGATTCACTGTCATACACTATGGGGGCCTCTGGCACCACGAAAACAAAACCCCGGGTTACTGCGTATAAGAGAGGTATGACCTACAGTAGGCCTTCACCAACTAAAGCTGTTACGTCCCCCCCCCCAAAAAAAAACACGATGGGCAAGACTAAGAGCTTATGAGAAATAGGGGGTTAGGTTCTATGGCTGTGGATAGCACTCATCAAATCCTAAGTAAGTTACCTGTTCCTTCACTAAATACCAGTATTGTACATTTAATTAAATTTGAGTCAATTATATAATATATATATATATATATATATATATATATATATATATATATATATATATATATATATATATATATATATATATATATATATATATATATATATATATATATATATATATATATATATATATATATATATATATATATATACATATTCGTTAACAAACGCCTCGGTTAACGAAATTTCGGTTAACGAACTGCCTTCCATAAGGATCTTCAATTCGGTTAACGAACAAAAATTCGGTTAACGAATTTCTTACGAACCGACCTCAACATGTTTTCGCTTGCACTGCCGGGCAACCAGCTTTAGTATCAGTCCGCCAATACATTAATCGGTTCTAGGGCTTAAATTCCTTACTATTTTAGTAAATATCAAGAAGTTTATACTATTCAATAATTTTAAAAGTTTAATATTCAATTTTTTAGTCATTTTAACGATTATTGAACATAATTGAAGGTAAAGTGACTAGTTTAATGCGCGGCATCCAGCCTCTTAACACAGCAAACAGGCGTTAGTCTCTCTCTGTTTTCACTGGAGGTAACATCTTGCTTGAGACTCTCTTCAACTAAACACTTTTTTTCTGTGTTTCCAAGCAAATTATTGGTCATTTTGAAATATATTTTACATATTGACAATATATAATGCAGTGCAGTGTTGATTTAAAGAAAATAATCTTGAATTACACCAAGAGAGCTAAAATTTTATGGGTGAAATGGCACCAAGGGGTGACTTCTCTTCCACCCCAATGCCTTCTCTTCTTCCTTCTCCTCCACCCCCATTCTAAATCCAATCATCATCATCCGTGTGATTTATCAAAGATATATATATATGTATATATATATATATATATATATATATATATATATATATATATATATATATATATATATATATATATATATATATATATATATATATATATATATATATATATATATATATATATATATATATATATATATATATATATATATATATATATATACACACACACACACACAGTAGGCTCTCGCCAATAACAACTTCCACAATAACGGTAAGTTACAATAGATACCCATTTTCGATAACGTCTGGATTCTCTTGAATAACGGAAATTTCGCGGGAAGCGTCCGAGCGCATCAATGATAGCGTTTGTTTGCCGCCATGTTGATGACGTAGTTGTCCACTCCGCCTCACTCTCACACACGCTCAGTGGAATACAGCGCTGCGCCCACGTGTGAGATTTTCGCCACTATAACCAGTGGTTGTTAGGGTCGGTGATCAATAATGGCTTCTGCATTTTTGCCTGTGGGGGCTAGGGGAGGTGGTGGAGGGAGTGATTTGCCACCTGAATGACTGGGAACTTTTAAAGTGAGGAAATTGAACTGTCCTGAGTCTAAAGTGCGAAATATTAAGAAGAACTTAGAGGAGACCAAGAAGAGTATTGCGCTGGCTAAAAATATTTCGGTAGTGATGGAAATGCGAGGCGAGCTATGAATGATAAAGGCGATAGAAACAGGTTGTTAGTGATAACAGAGCATTTTCTTGTGAAATGGTTAGCTTGTAGAATGAAAGACAGTGCAAGTGCTAGCTGCCCTTAGATACGGAACAATCATCACACTAAGCACCTCAAAAACTAAGTGTTATATTACCTAAACTCTTTATTTTGATGATTGAATAGCAATTCTTTTTATTTCAGCTAACAACAAGTGTTAGGAGGGCTTCAAGGGGAAAAATGGGTGAAATTCTTGTGGCAGCGGAACCAATAAACCCTTTTTACATGTATTTTATTGTCACACAAATAACGTTTTCGTTAATAACGGTGTTTTTCAGGCACCTATTAAACGTTATTGGTGAGAGCCTACTGTAGTCTAGAACTGCTTTTAGTGCTCTTGTGGTATTGTCGGTAGCGTTCCCTGGTCCCATGTATTAGGTCAAGGGTTCGAGTCCTGGCTGGTGTGGTAGTTGATATATATATATATATATATATATATATATATATATATATATATATATATATATATATATATATATATATATATATATATATATATATATATATATATATATATACACAGCTAGACCCCGACTTACGACAGCCGCAGTTGTGACCATTTTTTTTTCAAAATGACACACGCATTTTCTATACCGAAACGTTTCCAGTTAATGTAGTCTCCATGTATAATAAGAAAATTATGGGGGCCCCATGTGCATTCAGCTGACTACATTAAAGGCAAGTGCTCAGTCACACTGTATCCATCCCTCATTATTTATTACTTTCACTGTACTGTATCCATTCCTCATTATTTATCACTTTTACTGTATTGTATTTCATTGTAGATTTTTTATTTAAAAAAAAAATAATTATTATTTTTTATCTATGTCGGACTTACGACCATTCGGACTTACGACCTGGATTTTGGTCCCTAACCCCGTCGTAAGTGGGGGTCTAGCTGTATATATATATCAAAAAATGGTCCTACAATGCTGTTCAAAGTTTTAGTGTTGTGTATTTATCTAGGAAACACCCCTGTAAATTTTCTTAATGATCGGTGCATGTTTGAGCTAGCACCGTCGGCTTTACAAAATAACAAGGAATATTATTATCTAATGAACAAATTTAGTGGAATTTCTTTTATTAGACTTATAAGATATACTAACACCAAGCAAATGATCGATCATATCAATCTTAATACCCAAAAAAATATTATAGATTAGTACGGAATACAATAATCCCAATAATTGCATTTCTACGATCAAGACTCATTTCTCTCAACTGGCGTACAGTAAAAAAAAGAAATACTACTACCCCGCAATGCCTGGAGTGTTTGAGGAGCGCCAGCAGGAGATTGCTGACTTCTTCCGTGAATCTCTAGCCCAACCATTTACACGTGGCGACTACAAGGAGCTGGTAGAGCTTTGTCTGCTGCTTGTAACTAAAAGATCCGAGCCAGTGAACTTCACGATGGTCTACCCCGGCGCACTTCACAAAGCAAGGTGGATGGCTAAACTGCTCTATACCCTCAAGATTGTTCTTTTGTCAGGCCAGATCAAAGAAAAGTTTCCCAAAACCGAGGTTGTGACTAAAAGTCAAATCAGCAAGTTAGTAAGGTTTGCTGTGCTCACAGTCGCTGTTTATGTCCCATGGTGGATTGTTTGCCCCGTTCCAGCAAGTGCGCCACTGAATGACTTGAATTTGGTCGAAACCTTGGCTGAATTTGCCCCATATGACGCCACAATAGTTGACAAAGCACGTGTGGCACTCAGTAGACACACTTGGTACCTAACTGAGGAGTTGACCCCACTGGCTTTGTTCTCGTCCCAAGTACAAGAAAGGACAAAAGAGGAGATGAGGAAGGCCCTTCTTTACCATGAAGGCACTGAAGTTACTAAGAGAGTGGGGCTCAATCATGGGGGCCATGGAAAGCCATATCTTCTCCCTGTCCCAGAAAGTGGCACTGCCCTGGTGGACCTAATTGGGCTTGACTCAAGCCGGTTCTTCACCATTTTAGGCATGCCCTATCAGTTTCTCCACTCCAGCCAGTGAATAGATGGACCATGACGACTACCTGAACATGAAACAGGTTGTGGACAAGCTTCAGGTCGTCAATGAGGCTGCAGAGTGTGGTGTAAAACTTTGCCATGACTTCCTTAATGTTGCCAGGGATGAGTAGCACTTTCAAGAAGTCCTTCAAGTAGTTGAAAATGACAGACTCCGCATTCCTAATCAGCGCAAACGATCATCTGTTTCCAAACAGAAATCATGGTTTCTTGCTCTAGAGAAGTAATACCTTGTGAATATATGATAAAACCCCTTAATGTACCATGAGAGAATAAGAGTGATTAATTTTTTTGTGTTAGTGATAACAGCTTTTAATTAAGACAGGCAAATGATTTGTGTTAATATCCCTTATGATGGTTGTGTAATCTCATACAGTAGAAGCAATTATCATAGCAACAATAAAGATCAATATTACTAATGAGACAGAGCCCTACTACCTAGGCAAAGATTAGTAGCAACTATCACAGTAACAATAAATATAAA